CTCATATAGTATATAAATGCATGCGCGCGCGTGTGTGAATGTTTATGCATTATGAAAATTAAAGAACCTTAATTATTACGTTATGGTATGAAGATACGTTAACTTTCTTTCATTTCATGTTTAAATTTTACTAACATTATTGAAAAAAAATGATCCTACTAATTCTTTAAAAATTAGAGACATGTATATCGGTGTATCAAATTAAGAACATTTTTAATCATCCTTAATTGGTAATATGAAAGTAATATTACAATTAATTGTTCATTTTATGATAAATGTAACGAATATAATATGAAGGATTTTTAAGATATTTTTATATACAATAATATATCTTGTATTGATATATACAAGATGTATTATTGTATATAAAAATATCTTAAAATCCAGACACATATGTACGACTCATGCCAAGATTCATATGCGGTAACTTATTTATTTTTTTTATGACTATGAAAAATGAAATGTTTTAGGAATTTGTTCAATCGATATGTAATTTTGAAATTTATTGCTGAAAATATCAAAACTCATTGTGTCAATTTGAGACTATATATTATATTTGTTGAAAATAAGTGAAATAAGTGATATGAGAAATAATAATAAATCTAGTTATATGATGTATATATATAGACAGACATGTAATGATATGTCCTTTCTGATTTGTCACAAATCTCATATACAAACTTTAATCATTTTAGGATGTTCCGGTATACAGTGACAAAACAACATGGAATGTCGCGAGATTGTGCGGCAGCAGGTGGTAAAAAGATCGGTGCTTGCTGAAGCAAGCACTGAGCAGGTATTCGCGACGTGCCGTAGGGGAGACGAGTTCTTGCCCGGACAAGACGGGCACGCGGTTAGTCATCAAGATTCAGAGATTGTCCCCACGCACACGGCAACCAGTTGACCAAAACCACAAGATATCCCTTTTATTCTTCTTTTTCTCTCCTTCCATCATTTCCACTTCTTCCACTTCCGATCTTGGAATTCTCTAGCAATCTCAAAAACTTTACTAAAGAAAGTATGTCACATATTAGTTTTTAAACATTATATATAGATAATCATTTTGTCTTGTTGCTCAAAGGTAGTACCGAGTAATGATCGGTAGATTGGAAGATATGATGATAAATAAAGCGAAATCATAATTTTGGATAGTTGACTTTGTAATCTATGAACACAGAACACATACTATGGGACATACTTTCTGACATAGATTTTAATTTAAGATTATAAGCACGGATAAAATATATTTTGGACAAATATTATGACAGTGACAATATCGTAAGATAAGTTTGTAAGTTCATAAGATTGTAATGCAATAGATTAACAAAACGTCGTTTGTTTTCTCTCGAATTTACACTTTACATTTACATAAAATTTTATATTGTCTTTAAATTATGAAATAACTCTTTCGGACGTAAACATATTCCAATTTTATTGCCAATTATGTAGACATTATATATTATTCTCTCAGTTAAGTTTGAATTTTGATCTTGATCCATTTATGTGATCCATTATAAATTTTGATTCGTCTGTCCGAGGACGTTTAATTTGCATTGAACGAAGCAAATCAGTGTGTTATTGATACATTGCATTTGACAAAATCTTTTACAGATTTTCATATACTTCATAACTTTCTTCATATGGAATATGAAGCTGTCGCACACTCGCGCGCGCGCGCATAACTCACTGTTTTATCGCGGGCCCATGATCTCTCAGGATTGTTGCGCCTTCGGTCATGCTCGTCGAACTGTTTTTACCATGCTCTACCCATGCCAAGAGATACGGATCCGAGGTGCTAATCCGATGCATCTACACACGCCCAGCTAATAGAACCAGTTTTATGTGCACTAAAAACTGGTGTATATTTTCGAAAAACATCATTTTTTTTCTTTTTCTTTACATAGTGCCTCTTTTTCACACTCTTTTCTCTTTTCAACCACATCTCTTTTTATTATATTTTCTTCTTTTTTGTCGAGACATATCAGTATATCCAAGGCTATTATATCATACTCTACATGTTACTATTTGATTGCGTCTTGTTTTCCTATATTTTCCTATATAGATCTCGTGATATGTACTAAAAAGCTAGGATTATTATTAATCATATAATGCAACATCTAAAGGTTTATATCGACAGGATAAGACTAAATATTTTGTGCATGTCTAAAATATTCTAAAAAGCATATTGTTATTCTTTTTTTATAAATAATCTAAATATGACTGGTTTTTTTTCTCTCATATTAAAGTTTTTATTATTAGATTTCCTATAAAAAGTTACGAGTACAGTTTGAACAAATTGATCTTCAAATCGTAGCATTTCTTGAACGATTTTCTGTATCTATCACGCGTTGACTCTTCCTTCTTCCTTTACGTCCTTCAGGGGACTTACAGGGTTTCCCATCCCTGTCCTTCTTTTACTCGGTAGCATCGTCCGAGCGTCTAGAGGCTGAAGCGCCTCTTGTTGATGCGGAGCACTGACCCGCAAACTGGTTCCTCCATTACACCAGGCTTTCTTCCCCCTCCCCCTTTTCTCTCACTTCATCTTCTCTTCTTTCTCTCTGTCTCTCCGCTTTGTATATGCTTTCCTTCTCCTCCTGTATTTCTTCTTTCTCTTTTCCTTCGTGCGCGTGCGTGCATGCGTGCATGCATCTCTTCCTCCCTTTCTCCTTATGTTTCAGCATGTCCCTTTTACTTAGCTTCTCCGCATCCATATCAGACTTGGCAAACTCTACTCCCCTCCTCTGCAGAATGATCGGTCTCCAAGAATCAAAGATTCGGCAAGAGAGCGCTAAAACTCTATAGAGCGTCTGTTGTTATTAACTGAGCCTTAATCAATCTGTGAATGTGATGCCATTTTTGATAGCCTCTTTCTAATTGCTCGTAAAGTTACTTTATGGATACTATCATTGTTTATTATAAATGTTGTGCTAAGATTAGTTAACTTTAATACGGATAAAAAGCTAGATGTGATTTACATTAAGCTAATGTGTCAGTTAATATGCATTTTTGAATTTTGAAAAAATATTCCAATCTGTGAACGCTTTCATAAAATTATACCTTTCAATTTGTATATAATTGAGTTTTAAAATTTCGCTAAACTCGTATCTAGTCAAATATAAACATCGTTGCTATATGAATGTTGTATTAAAGCTGAATTAATTTATGCTATATCATATAACCGAAAGTAATTAATCGCATTTCGCAAATATTAGATTATTCATCGAAACGCAAAAAAAAAACAAAGAGAAAGAAAAGTGGCACAAGATGTTTAGAAATCGAATATTGTTTTCCCTATCCAATTTTTCCATTGATTATGAGAAAGAAAAAAAATGATCATGTACTGAAATATTACATCAACATCAAATTGCAACATATAAACATACAAATATTTAAACCATCGAGTTTCGTTTCGCTTAATCCATAAACTGTCTGCTACATCGCAAAGCTTTATGAATCAACGAACACATAATAACTAAGCTAAAATGCCTAATAACAAATTGCGATGTTGGAAATTATGGCCTTGTGAAATCAAATTACAAATTGTAAGATATTACAATATTGCAAATTACTTGATGATAAAAGCAACTCTCAGACCACAAAAGAGGATATTCAACGATACATACACATAGTCCATCTCTATCAGAGAAATTTTTTAAATTCAATCTCATTGTGAAATAATGTTGTTCTAATCAATCTTTCATTAAATTACATATTATGTGCTTTCAGTTATAATAAAGTGAATTTTTCTCTCAAAATGAAAATCTTTTGACTGTGTAATTAAAATATTAAATTAAAAGAAATATCTATATTACGTCAATCTATTATATTGTCTTAAAATATAATCAACGTTTTTCAATATTTTTCTTTTTCTTTTTTTGTATTTTTATTATTTTTTTGTATTAATATATGTACGCGCGCGTGTATGTATGTGAGATAGATAGATAGATAGATATAAATAAATAAATAAATGGACAAATAGATAGATAAATAGATAGATAGATAGATAGATAGATAGATAAATAGATAGATAGATAGATAGACAGAGAGAATGAAAGGGGAAAGAAAAGGAAGAAAGAGGGAAGGGGAGAAGGGAGGGAGGGGAGAGAGATTTGTATATTTAATTAAAAAATAGATCAAAAAATTGCGAAATATCTATACATTAAAAATAACAAATATCATAGTGCTTACATTATTCTATTATTTCGTATATATTATATAACCATATGTAAACAGATTTGAAATTTCACTAATTAATCTTTTTCACTAATTAAGCTTTGAATCGAAGAAAATACTTTAAGGGAAACACTTACCCGTCGTTGGATGAATTTGGAGTAATAATCCTATTAGTGATACTAAGAGGAAGGTTCTATACGGGGATACCGTGATATCCTGTCGCAAGGCCGTCATCTCAGGCGGCCCGCGCCAGGTGCTCTCTCGACGTGCCGCTATCCCTGCGGTGAATCTCACTTCAGCTTTCTTAACTTCCGCCTTCGTTCCTGCCAGGACGTGCCGTCTTCGTACTTCACATTTCATCTGCCTGCGCTAATTTTTATCCAATTTTGATCTTCGCTTTCATCACATAAATTATAGTGGAAAATTGTATTTTATACGTAAATATCGATTCACTGTTTTTATCATGGTCCATGAAATTTGTGTCATAGATTCTGTTTTTCGTACTACGCACACGCTTTTGTTACAATAGATCTATACGTTTGAATATACGTCTCAGACATCAGAAATGGTAATTATCTTTTCGTGTGCCAAGTTTGAAATAATTTCTGTATTTAAAAAAAAATAAATCTTTTATCACTATGATTTCAAGCACACATGCACATTTGTCTATCATTATTTACATGGAATTTCTTCTTCACAATAAACATAGTTATCTGTGAATTAAAATAAATTACGATATGTGTTATATATTTGTTCATGTTGAACATGTATCAATCTTTTATATATTTGCATTTATATCTTCTAAATTGTAATATATTATTTATTTGATGTATCGATCGATATATTTTATCTTAAATGAAAAAGTTGCAGTAGAATCCTTTTTATATTCTTCTCGCGATCGTAATAACTTCTTATTATTTATTTGCATTTTACATTTAATACTATACATTTAATACCATACATTTTACATTTAATACTATAATGTCATGTTAACTTATTTAAATATTTGAATATTATTTGAATATTTATAAATATTTATTTGAATATTTTTGCCCGTTTTGTCCATATTGATCGGTATCCGGTCGATTTGCTTCTTTGCTTAATTACAACTATCACGAAGTTTTATGATGACTATTTATCATCTCGCAAATCTTTTTTATTATTTCAAACTTGTCACGTTCTTTTAATTGCGTATGTGTGAATGATAATGAGATCTTTTTTCAATTATTTTTCTTTCTACTAAATTTCATTGAATCATGTAAAATTTTCCACGCGGTTCTTGAGCTATAATTTCTCACTATGTATCGTGACATCCATGAGGACACATGAAAATGGATCGATTTTCAAACACCTATAATAATTGAAAGTTTTAACAAACACCTATAATAATTGAAAGTTTTAAATGTAATGGCAGTATTGTTTATATTGTATTTGCTCCTTTGCTTTGGTTTTTTGAGAATATTTGTTTCCTTGTTTGATTAATCGAAGCACGACACTTGAAGCTAGCTTAGTCGCGAATCATCGCGTGCGATACGTGGTATACGCGCGCTTTACAAAAAAAAAATACACGTTGCACAAAAAGCGATTTTCAAGGATCCTGGTATTTTCGATAACACACAGTTTTAATCTTCTGCCTGTTTTATATGCTCAACTGTTTTCTTTACAGTCAATTTCGTCGAATTTTCCGAAAGTATACACGAATGGATTTAGCGCAATTTACCTCAGCATCTTCAGCGTTGATAGATATCGGTCTTTGTTAACTATACACGATTTTCGTTGAAGTGCTCATTAGATTCACGACATGATTGTCGATTTTTCACGAGCTTACTATGCGACGCGACGAGTAAATTCATCAGTCGAAACAAAGCGCGCGAAAGATCGTCAGATAGACTGAGAGAAGCAGACGACAGTTGATAGTCCGGCAACTAGTAGCAGCAACAACAGCAGTAGCGGCAGCAGCACAAGGCGAAACGTTTCGCCGTATGCCGAGCGAAGCTCTGCAAAAGCAGCCTGCACATGCGGCCGCGCTATATTGTATCGTCCCCACTTTCCTTCTTCAAGCGCGCGATCGCGGCGGTGGTGGCGGAGGCAGCAACGATGGCAACGGCGGCGATGGCGTCGACAATGGTGAACGGTAATATTAGAAGTAAGTAATAGTAGCGATGATAGTAGTAAGTAGTAA